CACACACACACACACAACACACACACACACACACACACACACACACACACACACCACACACACACACACACACACACACACACACACACACACACACACACACACACACACACACACACACGTGTCAATGTGTGATGTCATCAGGTCAATGTGTGATGTCATGACCTCCCCCTCCTCCCCTCAGCAGGACCCTCCTCCTCCCCTCATCCCCCCCTCCCCCCTCAGCAGCTGACCCCTCCTCCCCCTCCTCCCCCCTCCTCCCCCCTCAGCAGGACCCCTTCTCCTCCCCCTCCTCCCCTCCTCCCCCCTCAGCAGGACCTCCTCCCCCTCCTCCCCCCTCCTCCCCCCTCAGCAGGACCCTCCTCTCCCCTCCTCCCCCTCTTCCCCCCTCAGCAGGACCCCTCCTCCCCCTCCTCCCCCCTCCTCCCCCTCAGCAGGACCCTCTCTCCCCTCCCTCCCCCCCCTCAGCAGGACCGCTCCTCCCCCTCCTCCCCCCTCAGCAGGATCCCTCCTCTCCCCTCCTCCCCCTCAGCAGGACCCCTCCTCCCCCCTCAGCAGGATCCCTCCTCCCCCTCCTCCCCCCTCAGCAGGACCGCTCCTCCCCCCTCCTCCCCCTCAGCAGGATCCCTCCTCTCCCCTCCTCCCCCTCAGCAGGATCCTCCTCTCCCCTCCTCCCCCCTCCTCCCCCTCAGCAGGACCGCTCCTCCCCCTCCTCCCCCTCAGCAGGACCGCTCCTCCCCCCTCCTCCCCCTCAGCAGGATCCCTCCTCTCCCCTCCTCCCCCCTCCTCCCCCTCAGCAGGACCGCTCCTCCCCCTCCTCCCCCTCAGCAGGACCGCTCCTCCCCCTCCTCCCCCCTCAGCAGGACCCCTCCTCCCCCCTCCTCCCCCTCCTCCCCCCTCAGCAGGACCCCTCCTCTCCCTCCTCCCCCTCTTCCCCCTCAGCAGGACCGCTCCTCCCCCCTCCTCCCCCCTCAGCAGGATCCCTCCTCTCCCCTCCTCCCCCCTCAGCAGGACCCCTCCTCCCCCTCAGCAGGATCCCTCCTCCCCCTCTTCCCCCCTCAGCAGGACCGCTCCTCCCCCTCCTCCCCCTCAGCAGGATCCCTCCTCTCCCCTCCTCCCCCCTCAGCAGGACCCCTCCTCCCCCCTCAGCAGGATCCCCCCTCCCCCCTCCTCCCCCCTCCCTCCCCCTCATGGTGGTCTTCGTACCGACTCGTGGGTAGCAGGTGTTGTGGACTCCCTTCAGACTCCTGCAGTCAGAGTTCAGGCAGCGCCGCTTGTAGCCTCCGTCCTCCATGTTGGTGCTGCTGCCACACGTCGGGCAGAAGCTGTAGCGGCTGTGCCAGGCCAACACCGAGCGAGCCTGAGCCACGACTCCTGGAGGACACAGGTGGAGATCAGGAAACACAGAAACAGACCTCAGAGAAGAAGTGGTTTTAACATCCTTCTGTCTCATAGGGAACAAATTCAACAGAATAAAGATGCTAATGTCTGAACAGGTGTATGTTTGTTAGTTTCTTCATTTAACTGTTGTTGTAGTAGCATAAGAGTGCCACAAGAGGGCGACAGTGAGGTTAAGAAACGCCTCGTTTGAGGATAAATGGTGCACAACAATATGAGTCACATGTTGTTTCCTGTTTAAGTCTAAACCAGAGAAGAGAACTCTTCTGTTCCTCACCCGCCTCTTCCTCGCTGAACTTCAGCAGGTCTCTGTGCGCCATCTTTGTGAAGCAGCAGTTCTTTTCTCTGCTGCGTTTGAGAAGTTCAGCAGCGTCTTCGTCTGTGTTGATGGCAAACCAGGCAGGAGGCTCCCGGGTCGCCTCGGGGGGGGACGACGGCCCCTTCCTCTTCTCCACTCCGAGAAAGATGAGCACAGTGTGAGGTTTCTGGAGGAGGTCTTCAACGGCCTCAATGCTGAACCGGCAGAGTCTGGACTCGCCCTGTTGGAGTCACAATCAAAATAATCACAACGTGAATGTAAAACAAGACTCACACTGAACATCCTCCACGTACCCCTTCACTCTGGTCCTGGTCTGAGCTGCACACCATGGGGTTCAGGTTGGAGAACAGGAGGTACACTGAGTCTGGATCTCTCTGTTTGGCCTCCAGCCACGCCGCCTCGCTCCGCTTCACGCTCAGCCGCTCCAGCATCTCTCTGCTGAAGTAGTTCTCCTGCTGCTGGAGGTCGCAGCCCGGCAGGACGCGCTGGCAGCCTTCGTCCGTCCGCCCCAGCAGGTTGGAGACGGTCTTGTGGCCCCAGAACTTGGAGATATCGTAGGCGGTCTGTGACGAGCTGTTCACTGAGAACTTGTCACATCTTAAAGTTTGAAGAAAAAAAAAGAGAGAGAGCAGAGATTAAAAAAAACAACGAGTTCATCTTTCTCAAAGTTTGAAGAAAAGTCATCAACTAAATCAATCTTTAAAGTTTAGATCCATGACCATGAAGATTAACTGAAGAAGAAGGTACAAACCTACACACTCACACTCTCACACACACACACTCACACTCTCACACACACTCACACACAATCAAGGTGTGCAGCTTTTAAAGGACACCATGTTTCAGTCTCCATCTGACCCTTCTGTACCCGTGAGACAGCAGCGTCTCCACCACGCTGTAGTGTCCGTTCCGAGCCGCGAGCATCAGCGCCGTCCAGCCGCTGTCTCCCTTCTGGTTGATGAGCGAGGGGACGTGGGACAGCAGCGAGGACACCTGGGTCAGGTCCCCTCGGGCCGCAGCGTCCAGAAGCTTCTCCACCATCTCCTCCTTCGCACTCAGCTGGAGGCTCGTCATTCTGGATGCCCGTCCTGAAGTTTAGAAATAGAAACGACAGCTTCAGTGTTCAGCTCTGCATGGGTCTGTAAAGCTTTCTGTGTTCTAACCTCTCTCCATTTTTCAAAAGCATCTCCAATATTGATCCTAGTTTGAGCACGTTTCTGCTCGTGGAGCTTATTAGAAACATGCAGAGGCTTTTTAGGTCGGGTACAATCACTTCTATCTGAACCACTTCTCTTGACCGCTTCCATCACTGCAACACCTGTTGACCTGATAACTGCTCTCATATCTGACAAACCGAGGGGCGTCCAAAACGGCCGTGTGTGGGGGGGGTCTTAAAAGCGCCTACCTTCTCTGGTCCAAACAAATCCAGAGCATTCAGGAGCAGAATCTAAAGTTAGAAGGAGGACATACTGGCTGATGCATTGTTGTCAGAGAAGCCAGCACTTCAACATGTTTCCTTAATGATCAGAGAGTAAGATACCTTTATCAGCTCACTGATTGGACCTTTAATGATCAGAGAGTAAGATACCTTTATCAGCTCACTGATTGGACCTTTAAATAAAAACTTATGAATGGACTTTGTGCTTGTTTGTTTGTAGTGGCCAGGGGAGGGTCTCTGACTCTTATTGGTGCAGACAGCTGTCCTTCAGGAATCTGAGGTTACGACTTTAAGGTCAAAGTTTCCATGTTAACGAGTGTACCGTGAACACAGCAGGTGGCCTGTTACTCTCCCGCGAGGACAGTTTGGATGTTTAAATCTCACCTGTAAATGAAGCTGACACCTTGGTGGATCCGCGGACATTTACCTGAAGAGGTGTGGCAGGTTTCAGAGGTTTAGTGTCCTCTGAAGGAGAACTCTAACTTCTCTTCGTCAGTCCGGATGAAAACAGAACTTTACAGTTCAAACACGTTAATCTTTAAACACTGAATCTCACCTGTGACCTGTGTGCAGCACCGGGCCGCTCTTCTTCTTCTACAGGAAGCGCTTTGTTGTGTTTCATAAACGGCAACGAGCTGCGTTCAAGAGCAACAACAACTACAACCATGCTGCCTTCAAGAGCTCCAGAGAATAACGGATTTCCGAGTGACAGACGGACACTATGTAACTTCAATGAAAACTGGTATTAGCCTGTTACTTAAAGAAAGGGACGATGTCAGAAATATCTTAATGTAGCTTTGAGAGTCTACATTTTAAAGAATTAAAAAACAACTACCAAAATAAATACCTCCAACAAGGCCAATATTACACACCAACAGCATGAAGAGATACGATGACAGAACTTTATTGTCCAACTGCACGGAAATTTGCATATTGTTATTCTACATTTGACTGCTCAGAGTGCTTTTACACCGCAGGTCACACCTTCACATTCACACACTGATGGTAGAGGCTGCTGAGTAAAGAGTCCATCAGTATTAACTCATCCATTCATACACATTCACACACTGATGGTAGAGGCCGCTGAGTAAAGAGTCCATCAGTATTAACTCATCCATTCATACACATTCACACACTGATGGTAGAGGCCGCTGAGTAAAGAGTCCATCAGTATTAACTCATCCATTCATACACACTGATGGTAGAGGCCGCTGAGTAAAGAGACCATCAGTATTAACTCATCCATTCATACACATTCACACACTGATGGTAGAGGCTGCTGTGTAAAGAGACCATCAGTATTAACTCATCCATTCACACACATTCACACACTGATGGTAGAGGCTGCTGTGTAAAGAGACCATCAGTATTAACTCATCCATTCACACACATTCACACACTGATGGTAGAGGCTGCTGTGTAAAGAGACCATCAGTATTAACTCATCCATTCATACACTGATGGTAGAGGCTGCTGAGTAAAGAGTCCATCAGTATTAACTCATCCATTCATACACTGATGGTAGAGGCCGCTGAGTAAAGAGTCCATCAGTATTAACTCATCCATTCATACACATTCATACACTGATGGTAGAGGCCGCTGAGTAAAGAGTCCATCAGTATTAACTCATCCATTCATACACATTCATACACTGATGGTAGAGGCTGCTGAGTAAAGAGTCCATCAGTATTAACTCATCCATTCATACACATTCACACACTGATGGTAGAGGCCGCTGAGTAAAGAGTCCATCAGTATTAACTCATCCATTCATACACATTCACACACTGATGGTAGAGGCCGCTGTGTAAAGAGTCCGTCAGTATTAACTCATCCATTCATACACATTCACACACTGATGGTAGAGGCTGCTGAGTAAAGAGTCCATCAGTATTAACTCATCCATTCACACACATTCACACACTGATGGTAGAGGCCGCTGTGTAAAGAGTCCGTCAGTATTAACTCATCCATTCACACACATTCACACACTGATGGTAGAGGCCGCTGTGTAAAGAGTCCATCAGTATTAACTCATCCATTCATACACTGATGGTAGAGGCTGCTGAGTAAAGAGTCCATCAGTATTAACTCATCCATTCACACGCTGATGGTAGAGGCCGCTGAGTGAAGAGTCCATCAGTATTAACTCATCCATTCATACACTGATGGTAGAGGCCGCTGAGTAAAGAGTCCGTCAGTATTAACTCATCCATTCACACACTGATGGTAGAGGCCGCTGTGTAAAGAGTCCGTCAGTATTAACTCATCCATTCACACACATTCACACACTGATGGTAGAGGCCGCTGTGTAAAGAGTCCATCAGTATTAACTCATCCATTCATACACTGATGGTAGAGGCTGCTGAGTAAAGAGTCCATCAGTATTAACTCATCCATTCACACGCTGATGGTAGAGGCCGCTGAGTGAAGAGTCCATCAGTATTAACTCATCCATTCATACACTGATGGTAGAGGCCGCTGTGTAAAGAGTCCATCAGTATTAACTCATCCATTCACACACTGATGGTAAACATCTTGTGTTGCTCGTGCTGTTTAGCTTCTAAAGTGATAAACTCAAAGCAACATGTGCTTTTTCCAAGCAGTCACTGAACGCATCACACGTTGGACTTTGCACAGATTCTGCAGCACTTTCTCTGCGTTCCTCTGTCATGGCTGCTCGTGAACGCAGCTTTACACTTTTCTTCTCGCTCAGAGTCTCATTCATTGGGAGCAGATTTATGAGAAACATCATTTCATTTGTTGTACTGTCTCTTTAATAACGCTTTCATCTCCCATTTCTGTTTTACTTACTCTCATTTAATAATACTTTATTATTAATGTAAGTATTATTTATTTACCCTTATCACTTTTATCTGAAAGCTGGAGCATCTCTGCTGGTTTTATGTATAATTCACCTGATGTTGGTTGGATTAGTTCTTAGTGTTGTTTATGTATTGGTATGTTTCTGGCTGCAAACTAATTTCCCTGTGGAGACCATAAAGATACCTTTGACCTTTGACCTTAGATGGATGGACGGACGGACATTTTTCTGATTAAGTAGATTTACACTTCACATCTGCAACGATCCTCTGAATATTTTAAAAAGACAAAAAAAGAAAAACGGACTAGACAGAAACACTCGGAAACAAAGTTAATATTTTAATAAATAATGTACAAAATAATGTTACATGAAATCCTTAAATATCTTCTTCTTGGAGCCCAGTAGAAATAAAAATACACTTTCATTCTGTAATTTTAACATCATTATCATGAAGCATTTTTTAATCATTAATAAACACAAACAAAGGCAGAATAAACAATCACTTACTGTCAGAGGAAAAGGAAATTAAAGGGTTAACCAGAAATGGACTCAAACGTTACAAGTTAACGCTTTCTGTTCCTGCACAGCGTGTGTGTGTGTGTGTGTGTGTGTGTGTGTGTGTGTGTGTGTGTGTGTTTGTTTGTGTTAGGAGTAGAAGGTGAGGACACTCTGGTGGTTCCCTCGGACCAGCAGCAGGGGGGGGAGGTCTTTGGACAGAGTCTCCAGCCAACACATGTAGAGAGCGCTGGACACCGTGCCCTTCCTGGCCAGAGGCATGCTCCTGCAGAGGGGGGGAGGGGGAGGGGGGGGGGTTAGGACCTCAGAGTATCTTCAGAGTGTGTTATATGGTAATGTGTGTGTTGTAACACGTGTGTGTTGTAACACGTGTGTGTTGTAACATGTGTGTTCTATGGTAATGTGTGTGTTGTAACACATGTGTGTGTTGGAACATGTGTGTGTTATATGGTAATGTGTGTGTTGTAACACGTGTGTGTTATATGGTAATGTGTGTGTTGTAACACGTGTGTGTTGTAACATGTGTGTGTTGTAACACGTGTGTGTTGTAACATGTGTGTTATATGGTAATGTGTGTGTTGTAACAGGTGTGTGTTGTAACATGTGTGTGTTATATGGTAATGTGTGTGTTGTAACACGTGTGTGTTGTAACACGTGTGTGTTGTAACACGTGTGTGTTGTAACATGTGTGTTATATGGTAATGTGTGTGTTGTAACAGGTGTGTGTTGTAACATGTGTGTGTTATATGGTAATGTGTGTGTTGTAACACGTGTGTGTTGTAACACGTGTGTGTTGTAACACGTATGTGTTGGAACATATGTGTGTTATATGGTAATGTGTGTGTTGTAACACGTGTGTGTTGTAACATGTGTGTGTTGTAACACGTATGTGTTGGAACATATGTGTGTTATATGGTAATGTGTGTGTTGTAACACGTGTGTGTTGTAACACGTGTGTGTTGTAACAGGTGTGTGTTGTAACATGTGTGTGTTGTAACGTGTGTGTTGTAACATGTGTGTGTTATATGGTAATGTGTGTGTTGTAACGTGTGTGTTGTAACGTGTGTGTTGTAACAGGTGTGTGTTGTAACACGTGCGTGTTGTAACAGGTGCGTGTTGTAACAGGTGCGTGTTGTAACATGTGTGTGTTGTAACATGTGTGTGTTATATGGTAATGTGTGTGTTGTAACATGTGTGTGTTGTAACACGTCCGTGTTGTAACACGTGTGTGTTGTAACGTGTGTGTGTTGTAACATGTGTGTGTTGTAACGTGTGTGTTGTAACGTGTGTGTTGTAACATGTGTGTGTTGTAACATGTGTGTGTTGTAACATGTGTGTGTTGTAACACGTCCGTGTTGTAACACGTGTGTGTTGTAACAGGTGTGTGTTGTAACATGTGTGTGTTGTAACGTGTGTGTTGTAACATGTGTGTGTTATATGGTAATGTGTGTGTTGTAACATGTGTGTGTTGTAACAGGTGTGTGTTCTAACACGTGTGTGTTGTAACAGGTGCGTGTTGTAACAGGTGCGTGTTGTAACACGTGCGTGGTGTAACACGTGCGTGGTGTAACACGTGCGTGGTGTAACACGTGTGTGTTGTAACAGGTGTGTGTTGTAATGTGTGTGTTATATGGTAATGTGTGTGTTGTAACACGTGTGTGTTGTAACACGTGTGTAGATTCTCTTACATCACGATGAGTTTGGCCGTGCTCGAGTGTTCCTTCAGCAGCTCGTTCAGGCGGATCTGTCGGTTTGTCTGAAAGTCACACAAAGCATGTTCACGTTAAGGCAGGCCATGGGCGCTTCTAGGCAGGGGCCAACAGGGGCCAACAGGGGCCAACAGGGGCCAACAGGGGCCAACAGGGGCCAGTGCCCCTGTAACTCTGAACTTGGTCCTCCCTGTAGCCCCCCCTCCAAAAGGAACAGCCCCCCCCTCATAACACATACACAGTGACTCAACAACCAGACTCACAATCTAGTCTTAAATTCTGTTCCTGAAACAACACAGGATCCTGTGAACATGTACTACTGGAGAGGTCTTAGAGTGAGGGGGCTCAGCGCTCCTGAGCTGGTAGGCGGGGTTGATGCCTTGCTTGAGGGCACCTCGGGTGTGACCAGGAAGTGAACTGGAACCTTTCCAGCAAACCGGCCGATTTCTAGATTTGGGCCACCGAGACTTGAACAGGAGACCCCCCTGGTTCCCTACAGACTGAGCTACTGATCACTGTGTGTGTGTGTGTGTGTGTGTGTGTGTGTGTGTGTGTGTGTGTGTGTGTTACCTTGGCCCTGTACAGCTCCAGCTCGTTGTCAGTGATCCTCCACG